CCAGGAGGAGCAGGTCAGCAGTTTGGGCGCATGTCCAAGGAGGACAGAGGAAGGTGAGGAGCAGCGCTTCCTCCCTCCCTGGGAGGTGAAGGATGACAGGTGGGGTCGAGGCCTCAGGTGTGAATTCTTTCCCAACAGTAAAGCTGTCCTCTCTGGCTTTAGTTTCCTCCAAACAGCTGTCACAGGATGGCAAAGAAGAGGAAGGAGTTGCTCAAAGAGATTCTGAGATGCCGCCCAAGGCTGGAAGGTGCGCGGGGCGCGGCCAGCCACTGTGAGCACCTTGCCTGCTGTCCAGGGTGTGCTGCGTCTGCTGTGTGTGGCTTTTGTGTTCCCAGCGAGCCGCTTAGAGCCACAGTGTGCGCCCGGTGACGGATGTGATGTGGAGCTAAGTCACTGAAAGTCACTACGCCCACCCCAGAGTTCCGCCTTCCATGCCCACTCGGGGTAGAGGTTTTAGCCTTTGCATGTGGCTGGGCAGATTTTCTTCTCAGAAATGATGAAAACCAGAGAGGGAAGCCCTTGCCCCGTGAGTACCAGTTGCATGATGGAGGCCTGCGGTATTAATACTCAGTTGCTGTGCGTGCTGCTGCCTCTGTGGACAATGGCTCCTTCTGTCTTGAGTTAACGCCAAGTGAGTGATGCTACTGAAAGTTTCTTTAGCAATAAGTGGACTTTGACTGGCTGGACTGACTGTTGCCCTAGTTCGTGTCCTCTGGCCTCTGAAGGGCAGGCTTTGGGGAGAGAAGAGAGCTCGGAGAAGACAGCTCCTGTCCGGAGTGGCAGTGGACGGAAAAACCAAGGAAAGTTGTATGATTCACAAAAAGATGACATGATGGCCAGGAGAACTGGGATGTCTCTTAGACACATTGGCTCCAACCCCAACCAGTTCCTTCCAGTTCCATTTGCAAAGCAACAGGTGGAGGAAGCTGCCAAAAGCCAACCAACGAAAGATAAGAGGTCAGAAGATTGTCCTGTGCCCTGTTTCTTGTGACTTTGTTTCTCCATTCTGAGCCTTGATACATGCTTTGAATATACTGTTAATGCAGTATGGTACATCCGTGCCACTTACCTGCTATTGTTTGCAGAAGCGGAGTGATGAAAGTTGGCCCAGTCTGCTAAGAATCTGTTTTCCCTTTTTTGCATGTAAGCAGGTGTGGAGAGAATGGTTCAGTTGTGAATTTTTCTGTTAAACTTTCTTTTTGCCTCTCATCTGCGGGCGGCCTAAATGAGCAGCTCTTTTGTTTCCTCCCAACTCACACAGGAGCCTTTGGGTAAAGGGGTTGACTTCTTTCTGATCTCCTTGATTCCACTCTGATTCTAGGAGGGTCTTCCAGTCCAAAGAAGATGTATACCACTTATAAACATGTCACGTAATTTAATTTCAGCATTAGGGAACAGTGTTTTCTAGGTGTTCTGTGCTATGACTTGATTTAAAAAGAAGAGTGGGGAGATAACCCTGGGGTTCCTGGTCTGGTTTAAGGTCATATATGCTGTTATATAGCGTGATACCTCTGTGGACTGCCCGATCGAGGTCAGGCAGAGGAGTGGGGTGTGGAGCCTAAGTGTAAGTTCCACTGTACGACAGGCGGTGATGGCGTTCTGCTCACAAAGGACCTTGGTGGTGGGACAGAGGGTGGTGTGGGGAGCAGGGAGAACCTTAAGTAATCCTGAAGTTTTAACATTCATATCCTAGCCATCTTTATCATCTGGGTTGCCTGTTTCACATTCTTCTGAAAACACTGGTTTCAGGGAGCAGGGGCCATGTCCGGGCTCTAGTTTATGACTGTAGAGGCTGTGTAGCCTTTTCAAGGTGTGTCTGCTCCTTCTAGCTCACCTGCTGAGAATTCACAGGTGGGCTCAGTCCATGTTCACGCCATGTCACAAACGGGATGCCTGATGGCAAGAAGGTAAGTGAGTGGCTCTCACTTGTCTGCCTTGGTTAGGACTGGTTAGGGCTGGTTAGGGCTGGTTAGGGCTGGTTAGGACTGGTTGGGGCTGGTTAGGGCTGGTTAGAACTGATCCGCCACAGTCACTCACTTTATAGGGGCCCTGGATCGGTGGGCTGCTGTAAAGCCAGTTAGAATGCAAGGGAGGGAGGGAGGCCCACAGCTGCCTGCACTCCAGGTGATTTCCCATTTTCTTTTTACTCACACAACCTGTGAAAGTGAGAACTTCCATCTGCACTCAGTCACCAGGAACCTGAGGCCCGCGTCTGCGCTGCTGGTCACTGTTCCCTAATGATCGAGGCTCAGACCCAGCTCGGTCTGGGAGGCCACTGTCCTGCTCCAGCATGTTGCCAGCGCAAAGTACCAGAGGAAACCGTGGAAGTCTCATCGGTTCCCTGTCGCTTCTATCTGTCCCTCTGTTTGTGCCCAGGAGCCCTCTGTGTATCAGACGGGAATGGACGGCTGGTCTGAGCACAGGGAGAGACTGTCAGATCCCCTGTGTCTGACTGAGCAAGCACACACCTTGGGAGGCCGTTTTCCTTTCAACACGTATTTATTGAGTAATTACTGCCCATAAAACACACTGTGCTGGGTGCTGCAAGCTCATTTTTCCCTCTCATTTCAAATGAAGCTTGTGTTACTTTATAATATGGAAATACATGATCAGCTAATTATTCATTCTGAAAGTTACATAAATGCAGTCAATAGGTGCACAGAATATTTCATTTATCTTTCTAAATACCCCAACCCTCACAATGAAACTTTATTAACTACTTTTTTAATTGGCTTATACCAGCTGTGATTTATATGGCGCTTTGCACCTCATAGTCTATTGACTCACCTACTTCGCATTTAAAAAATCTCTATTATTTTTTAACTTGCCTGTACACTTCGATTTCCCTTAGGACAACTGGGAATGCCACTCGAAGCCCAAGCTCAGATTCTCTTCTGCTTAACAGCAGAGGCCATTCTGCGCACATGGACGCCCTCGAAGCTGACAAATTAAGCTGAGGGACATTCCTGGAACCCGCAGTGTGCAGTAAAGGAGAAATTAAGTTTATCGTCGAGACTGTGGCGCTCTTTTCCTTTCTGTTTCCAGACCATCCAATAACTAGCCAGTAAACACTTATCAGGGGCTCATCTGGCCACTCTTCAGGGAACCCCAGAAGGAAAACCCCTGCCCTATGGATCTTATGGTTTCGTGTCTGTGTGCATTTGTTGGCAGAGATGCTCGTGCAGTGCTCTGTTTAAATTCAAATATATCTAACAGCAACCACATCGCTGAACCTCAAACAAAATATGTTGAAGAAACCACGCTCAAAAGAGCACGTACTGTACAGGTCCATTTACATGCAAAACACTCAGCACTAATCTACGGGTGTGTTCGGTTGGTGAGAAACCATTGAGGTGGACGTGTGTAGTACATGCACCTCATGTATGTTACACTTCAGTTGAACATTAACGGGAACATTCAAATAGAGACACAAAAATGCATAACCAAGTATTAATTGGTATTTCTAGATTAACAATCCATTAGGAAGAAGTGCTCAGCTCCCCTCCATAGATAATTTAGAAAACACTGTATGTGAATGTCTATTCCAATAGGCCTATTAATCAACTGGGAAATATTTATCTGGTCCTCGGGATTAACACTGCTTATTCCTTCTCTCAATGTGCAGGAATCCACTGGTCATCTGCTTCAATGTGGTGGTGTTTTTTTGAAAACTGAGTGTATTAGGTTAAATTTTAGCATCTTCTGAAACTACCCCCTGGAGAAACGGAAAAAGAGTCTTAGTGCCAGAAGAGAAACATCCACAAACCCTTTCCTTGTCTTGTTTTTGGCCATGTCAACAGATACTTCAGGCTTTGCACTGGTGGGGTTGCCTTCACTACAAATGAAAATAATTTTCAATGAATGCAGACTATTCTAGAATGACAAAAGCATAAGAGAGAAGGGTGTGTGTGTGTGTGTGTGTGTGCGCGCTCCCATGTATTCTGGGGTGCTTTGTCTAAGATTATAGAAAGAGCTCTTTAGAAACTACCCTTTGCCCTATAGTAAACTGTTATGAAACTAAACATGGGATCAGGTAATTTTTGCTGAAAACCCCACAATTTAATTTATTGGAAAGTTTTTTCTTTACTCAAATAGTTCTTTATCTGCCATCAGAATGCAGAAATGAACAGCCTTTCAGGGCATAAGAAAAAACCTTCTCTTAAAATTCCCCTTTGTAGAAGAGACAGGCATTTGTGGGAGCTGCATTTTTTAAAGGTGCTTAAAATATGCCCTTCTGAAGTTCTGATTTTTGTTTTCTAACTTAACCCTTTCCTTTGCTTTATCAGACACATTAAAACTTCAAGTGCCTGAATCGCAGAGGGTATGGCTTTGTAGATCAAAACAATCAGACGGCTATCAAAGACGATAAAAAACACGTTGGTGTTTCAAGTGATGGGATATCCAGGTCTGGTTTGGGTTAAGGCTGCCCGTTTTCTAGGAATTGTGGTTTTTGTCAAATGCATACAGAAGGCACTGGTTGGGGTTCTGGTTGGCTTTCAGAAAACTGCAAAAATGCTCTTTGATGTCATTTGTGCACGTGCGTTAGCAGTCAGGGAAGGGGCCCACCGCGCGCTTCTATGTGGGGTGTCCATCACGCCTGAGGCATGAAGTTTAACTGTTTGTGAACAACCATAATGCAGGTTTGGGTTTTTTAAGGCTGCCTTCTCTAAACATTGTGGGTAGCACCTCAGCCTTTTTGTGTTTATATTGAACAGATTATTTTTGTGTCTGGGCGGGGGGGGGGGGGGGGCGTGGGGATTATTTTTATTCCTCCTGTGTATTTTAATACATATTTTGCATTCTTCTGAACTGTCAAGATGTTCCTTTCATTTCCAGCAGTTAATGTGGTTAATGGTATAATGATACTTCTCTTCCAGTATGATCAGGAAAAAAAAGAAAGGTTGAGCACACTTCCAGTTCACCCACAGTTTTTCTTTTCAGCTTGGTTACAGCATTAACCTTGTCTTGCCAACCCTCTAATTGTGTATTTGGTCTTATAGATACGGTCCGAGAACCGCTGTGTCTGATGACGCAGAGTAAGTTGTCTTGTATTCGAAGGAATACATTAATTCCTAGCCTAAACTGCATGCCTTCAGTACTTACCACTAATGGAAATGCAACTGGTGCAACAGTGAGCTAAATAGCTAACCGACTCGTGCAGCCTCGAAAAGCACTTGAAGTTGGAATGCAGAACATATGTTCTGTGCAGGAGAGATGAATGAAAAAGCAACTGAAGCATGATTCTAATATGCAGCTGCTGCCTAAAACGTAACATTTGCTTTTCATAGATGGGGCATGTGAAAGTTGTTCTTGTCACCGTTGGGATGTTGGTGCCCCTTCTGAACCATGGGGTTATTAAAGCGGGATCCTGCATTTGCACTTTATTTGTGATCGGTCAGGGCTTGGAGCTAACAACAAAGCAGTCATTCTCGTGGCCACATTTTTTAAACGGAGAAAATAAATCCTAAACCACTAATTGTGGATTCAGAAGCCCACCTTCCTCCCAGGTTGGAGTCATATAAACTATGGGATGCCTGACACCAACATGTTGGGATTTCGGTCAGGGTCCATGGCACAGCAAGGGCTCAAGACTTCAAACAGGACTTCGGCTTCCCCTCCTCTCTGAGATTTCAGAGATTCCCTGCCCATCCCTGCCTCGCCTCCAGATTTGAGTAGAATCCACACTCTCCCATTTGTGACCCCATTAATTCCGTTTCGAAAATGGATTTCCCATACACAGAGCCTTCTGAAACGAATATCCAAGGCAAACGTTTTCCTAGGGGAATATTGCTCCCTCAGATTGGTGTAACGTGTGTTTTAAGAAACATGATTAAGCCCTGGCTGGTTTGGCTCAGCGGCTGGAGTGTCGGCCTGTGGACCAGAGAGTCCTGGGTTCGGTTCCCTCTAGGGGCACGTACCAAAAATAAATTAAAAAAAAAAAAAGAAACATGACTAATACCTCATTCCACCGCATCGCCTACTCAGCCTGTCTTTCCTCTGTGAGCGGTGTGTGGTGGCCTCGTGGGAGGCTCTTTGGAGAGTGGGCCCACCGTTCTTCCCACCTTCCTGCTCTGAGCCAGGGTTCCAGGTCCCACAGTGAGGAATCCAAACGACCGTGTGGGACACACAGCTGTCGACTCCACCAGGGACAATGAGAGTTAGCTACAATTTAGTTTTCAAATCATGCTTCTCCCATGTCCATGCTCAAGACGTCAGCTTGGTTTACACTCTCAGCCCTAAGCTGCCTGACCCGAGCGCCGAGGATATCAGTTTCCAACGTGCGCGCTCTGATGGCCCTGTGGTCTGACGTACGCAACCTTCGCATCTCAAACCAAACCCAAACTCAGCCTGCGCTGGACGCACTGCATGGAGTTCAGGCGTCTATAAAATTAAGCCCTGGCATTACTTTTAAAATCTGCAGTGGCAGTATTTAACAGTCTCTGAAAGAAGGATTACATAAGATTGATAGGCAAAACATGACTTTGATTTGGTTAAGAAAACATTTTGATAGAACGGGTTTTGTTCTTCATCGGTGCAAAGACACCCAGCAATTTGCCTGAGACAGGTCTCTCGGAAATCCTAAAAGGTGAAGGAAAAGAGATCTCTTAAGGGCTCCTGGATGTTGCCTGTACCAGAGTATGAAAGCTCACCCACAGGAGTGAATAGTTTTTTAAAGGGGCGGGGTTGGGGACTCCCCCAACTCCTCCAAATTTACAGAAGCAGCCTTACGGAATGGGGTGAATGTCTTTTTCAGACATCTGATCTAGGAATATCAGAAGTACCAAATGTTCCTCACGGAGTAGACACAATTTACGTGAAACGGTATGAGGAACAAAATGCAGAGTTTATTTTGCGAGTTTATTTTTTAAATAGAACTTCTCTGCTGAGTTTATTACCTTGCTATCTCCCCTTTTCAAAAATGAAAGGGCAGTTATTGGCACGGGCTCTATTTATTCATAATTGACACATTCTTAAAACACAGCCCAATCAAAAAAAGATGTGCCCTCAGGAAAATGCAGGTCAGGGGCAGACCTACCACACAGGCAAACAGAAATTTCCGCCTCCTGGCAAGCCAAGAACGTTTCCGTACATTTAGTTTCACCTTCTTGCCCTTTTCCTCACTTCCCCGTTCCTCCTCTCCCAGCATCTTCCCCACCACCAGAGCCTGTAGGCCGCGAGAGCCACAGGGCATCTTATTCTTAATTCCCTTACCTTGGACTTGGCCCAGAAACTATTTCCAGGCTCCCCTTGAGGTCATGTACTCCTCGCCTCAAAAATGCCAACCCACCACCGAGACTCCCAGGTTCCACAGCCAGGGTGCCTGGTCCCAACAGCACCAGAGCACGCCTCATGGTGTTGAGAAACAGGTTTAGTGAGAGCCACATTCATATTCTGGAACCTGGGCTTCTTCAGGACCCCACACCCCGTGCCTAGAACACACTTCTGCCTTTTGGAGGCTGAGTCCACCCTCTGAACTAGGGAACGTTTTCTGAATGGTGACTCAGCCTATTTTCTGTCTAGTATTTTCAATTCTCAACTTGCTTAGTTCCTTTTTTTTTTTTTTCAAGTCCTAAAGATGTTGCTCATAATTTTTTTGTTTCCTTTTTGGCCAGTTTGCTGGTATTTCTTTAAAAAAAAATAACAACTCTGGGGAAAATACCGCTTCCTGGTATATGAGAGAGCAAACAAAAGCTTCTCTTTTTATTTCACTAACCAGCTTTGGGCCACATTTGGGCGGAGGCAGTTAGAAGTTCACGGTGGGATGGGGACAGAATCTCGGGGCAGCAGTGAGATCTGAAAGCCTTGCTCCTCTCCTCTGTCGTCCCTGAGATAACCAACTCCCAGCCCCTGGAGGAGCTGCCATTTTCTCTGGGGTCCCAGAAGAAGACCTGGCGATAGGGCCGCCCATTGTGACCTAAACCAAAAGGCTGCCCTTTAGAAATTATATAAATGGCAAAGTCGAAGGAAGGGACCTTCTTTCTCTCCCACAATCTGCCAACTACGAGTAGATTACAAGAGACTCCCAGCTCAGGGAGATTTTTATCTGCTAAGATCTTCACAAACACTGAATTGCCTTAAAAGATGAACTGACTGAATTGAATAGATTTAAAGGTAAGATTTTTTTTTTTTTTAACTCTAAGAGGAGGAATGGGGTGAATTTGGATCTTTTTCTGGAAAGCCTACTTAAGTGAATGTTGGCCCATAAAGTGCAAAAAAAAACAAAAAAAAGTGGGATAGACTTTTTTTTACCTAACTCTACAAATTCCTAAATGTTTCCTAAACATTAATAAATAGTATAAAATAAACAAAAAATCTCAGTCCTTCCTACCTCTTGAGGGCTGCAGTTGATCTGGAAGGCTCGGCGCCCACAATCAACACTACCCACTGATACGTGGGGCAGCTCCACAGGTGGCTGCCACATCTGAGCTAAGAGAAGCCAGCAGTTCTTTTACGTGGTCAGACTATTAGAATGCTCTTAGGGAAGACAGATTGCAGGTACAGTCTTCGGTTTCAGCTTTCATAGGTCAGACTTAAATTGTCCAACATCTAAAGAGGGGAGAGGCTCGGACACACCCCTGCAGATTCATTTTGAGTGGACTGGAGTGAAGGTGGGCAGCCACCGCCTTGGGGGTCACGTTCCCTTCCAGAGAGCTGCCTGCTGAGGAGCCCGCCAGCAGCCAGGGGTGCCACCACTTTCGATTGTCTGGCCGTGGCGAAAACTATTCGGACATCACTGACGATGTCTGGAATTAGTTGGTGTCTAAATGCATGGCTTTTCTTTTTCTTCGTGTTAAGCTGGCTTCAGAAATGGACTATTATGGTCTTCTATTCTTTGAACTTTAAAGGGCCTCCCATTTCTTGATTTGGGGACTGCGTAACCCATGTGGTCCCAGAGCTCATCATTTCTTTGAGAGAGAAAAAATGAGGGAGGGGAGGGTTTTACTTTGGTTTGTATTTCTGTTTTCATCTTGCTGCTTAAGCTTTGCTGGAACAAAGGTCTATGTAAGCATCATGGAAACGACCTTATGGTCTTGCCTACTGTTTAATAAGCTCCTACAGAATATATTAGAGTTTTACATTGTTTTTCTTATAGTTTTCTTCTGAAAGAGTAAATTCGGAGGTATCCTGACAAAAACTAAAATTGTGAAAAGAGTAGGATACAAAGTATATACTGATTTATACATTTTATTCCTTAATCTCAATATAAAATACCTTATTTTCTTGATTCCAAGATGCCATCAACTGCACTATGGATTTACAGTTCTATAGGAAGTAGAAATAACCATATCAAATGCAGGCATCAATAATGCATAGTTGTTGGAGGCATCCAAAATTCAGAAAATAGTACAATATGAAAATATGGGTGTCTTAGACTTAAGACCATATGTTTTTTTTTTTAATGGAGAGATGGCTTCAGTTAACGTAGAAAGCATTTAAGCCAAGTCTTTACACAAAGAAGCATTTACTGTGATAAACTTTCACTTCATGAAGCACCATCCTCCTTATCCACAAACTCTCCCCAAGATAAACCCTTTAATTCCCTTTTTTGTTTTCTAATACATTTCCAAATGCGAGGAGCCCAGAGCTTCATAAACCTTTTCTAGCTCTTCTTTAAACATGCTTTGGCACCTATGTGTATAATTATATTGACCTGATGCGGCCACCACTGAAGACAAAGCTGGTCCCAGTTTGGCTTTCACTGCAGAAGGAGAAGAGGTGGGGGTGCTGGCGTGCACGCCGCGGGGCCGGGCCGAGGTGGGGGACGGATGCCAAGCGCCGCTGTCTTAAGCTGCAGAGGGAGCGGGACAGTTTTCCAAACGCGGTAGCGCCCCCACGTGGCAGAACGGCCGAGAGCGCGCAGAGCCAACGGCGCTGATCCGTCCCTTTTGTCTGCTCTCTCCGCACGCAGGAGCACCAGTATGTTTGACATGCGGTGTGAGGAAGAGGCTGCAGTGCAGCCGCACAGCAGGGCCCGCCAGGAGCAGCTGCAACTGATAAATAACCAGCTGCGGGAAGAGGACGACAAATGGCAAGATGTGAGTGCCGGCCAAGGCCGCGGGCAGCGGGGAGGCTGCCCAGCACCGTGGGTTAGAAGCCCTTTGGAGCAGAAAATCCAGTGGGGTGGGTAGACCTGCATTTGAAAGCCGTGCTGCGGAAGGGGGCCTCTAGGGGATTTCAAACAGTGACACAGTAAATGTGAGAATTAAAGGAAGGTTAATAAGCAACATGAAGGGCAAGGAGTGACTGACAGGAAGTGGGGAGCCAGTGGGAAGCCAGGGCAGGAGATACAGAATTGACAAGCACTGTCTCTTGAGATTATATATTTGAAATTAATAATGATGATGATGACAATGATAGTTGCAAACGTTGAAAACATGCCAGTAACAGGCACTATTCTAAGTGCCTCCTTGCATGTAGTAATTCTTTAATCCTCTTAGTAACTTAATGAGCCAGCAACTATTGTCCTCAGTTCCACAGAGGAGTCCCAGAACAGCTAAGTAACTTGCCCAAAGTCACATAGCTGGTGAGTGAGCGAGCCAGGGGAGGAAGGCTCCAGAGTCCGATGAGGGCCTGAGGCTGTCTGAGTGCTGAGACTGAAGGGCCCAGACGGGGGGAGGGCTTGAAGGCAGGGATGAGTGGAGGGAGAATAGATTATCTCATTTAATCCCCACAGAGCACTCCGAGATCGCAACTGCAAACTTGATTCGCCCACTAGTCAGAAAGGTTAACTTCTCCAAAGTCAGTTAAATGTCATAATTATGTCTACAGTAGATTGAGCACTTACTGTGTGCCTGGGACCTTATATGCACTATCTCATTTAACCCTCACAATAGGCTTGTAAGAGTAGGTGTTACTATCATCCCTGTTCTAGAGATGAAGAAGCTGGGGTGCAGAGAGGCTGGGAAACGTGCCTGTGATTCCAAAGCATGTAAGAAAGAGAGCTAGGATCATTTCCCAAGCTGCAGTCCCTGCCATCTGACTCCAGAATCCTAACTCTTCGTCATTATGCTAGAACTGCCTGTAGGATTTGTGGTGAGATACTGTATGGATCAGAAGAATTAATACATATAGAATCATCGATTCTGTGAGACACCCCTCCCAAAGCTGATTTTTCTCTGCCTTTTCTTCCTTCCCTGAGGACATTGTATAGGTTTGTGGTTAATTCTTAACATGTCAACAAGTCCACTCAATACAGAAGTCATAACTAGCAAGAAATGAAGTTTCTAGTAATCCCCTGGGATGCAGTATTTTAAAATTTGTTCATTGACATGGAATATGATCTCGCATTGCCATGTTTAAATAAATGTGCTGCCCTGCTCTGGTGGCTTCCTGCCGTTGCGGCATCCCTGTGCCAGCCGACTTCCCCCGGGTTGGGCGGGAATGCCCTCGCATGGTGCCTGGCCCAGGGTCAGTGCTCACTGAGCTCTGAAGAGTAGAGATGGAGTTATCTGCAAGCCTGAAAAAGACCTGTTTTCTCTCCACCAAATCCATCCTCACAGGACCTGGCTCGTTGGAAGAGCCGCAGAAGAAGTGCTTCTCAGGACTTAATCAAGAAAGAGGAAGAAAGGAAAAAAATGGAGAAATTAATGGCTGGAGAGGACGGGACAAGTGAACGAAGGAAAAGCATCAAAACCTACAGAGAAATTGTTCAAGAAAAGTGGGTTCTTTCTGTTGTTGTTGTTGTTGTTGTTGTTTGATGTACAGTATTATCTAGAGTGGTTTTTAAAAAAATTGTTGGCTATCACCAAACCTCTGACTTCAATATTATCCACTCCGATGCTCTACCTTGGTTCCTACCAAGTCCTGTTTGCGGTATTTGTGACTGTTGCTGACCTTGGTATTGTTTCTCTCTCCCATGCCCATGCTCTAGAGAGAGGAGAGAGAGGGAGCTGCATGAGGCCTACAAGAACGCGCGGTCCCAGGAGGAGGCAGAGGGGATCCTTCAACAGTACATCGAGAGGTTCACCATCAGCGAGGCTGTTCTGGAACGCTTGGAGATGCCAAAAATCCTGGAAAGAAGCCATTCAACAGAGCCAAACTTAACCCCCTTCCCAAACGACCCCAACCCCATGAAATACCTGCGGCAGCAGTCACTGCCTCCACCCAAATTCACTGCCACTGTGGAAACCACCATCGCTCGTACCAGCGTCCTGGATACCAGCATGTCCGCAGGCAGTGCGTCTCCAAGCAAAACTGTCACTCCCAAAGCAGTGCCTATGCTGACACCCAAGCCTTACTCCCAGCCCAAAAACTCTCAAGAGGTTCTAAAGACCTTTAAGGTAGGATGAGTTCCTTAGGGGTAGAACCAAAACTGAACTCCAGGTAGTTGATGGAAAGAAGCATCTTGCCTCAAGAAAATACAATTTTTTTTTTACTGCAAAAAAAATGCAAACAAAAGCAAAATGGTTAACATTTATAATTGTGATGTTTATATGTCTCTGAGATTTGGTTTGCAAATGGTTAGGGAGAGATGGTTCCCCTTAGTTCCTGCTGTTAATATCAATGGGCTCCAATGAGATTGATGGTTGAGCCGTTTCCATGAGCAAAGTCTGTTTTCTAATTTGTTGATATACTGGCATGTTCTCTATATTAGTGGTCACAAACCCTAGGTATCTCCAACTATCGGAGGTATTGCGAACTCTTGAAAACAAAATTTTGATTGCCTTTGTTTCAATAGAAGTGTTTACAGCTACCTCTTTTTTAGGAAGTAATTGACATTATGTCTAAAAAGATGGCAACAGTTAAAACAAAAAATACAGGGATGCAGGTTCAATTCCCAATCAGGGCACACACATGAATCAACCAAAGAATGCATAAATAAGTGGAACAATAGCCCCGGCCTGTTTGGCTCAGCGGTTAAAGCTTCAGCCTGTAGTCCAGAGAGACCTGGGTTTGGTGTCCCCTGGGGGCATGTACTTCGGTTGTGGTTTTTCCCCGGCCCTGGTTGGATCATGTGGGTGGCAGCCACTCGATGTGTCCCTTTCACATCGATGTTTCTCTCTCTTTCTCTCTTCCTCTCTCTCCCTCCCACTCTATCTGAATAAAAAATGGGAAAATGTCCTTGGGTGAGGATTAAAAAAAAAAAAAAATAGGACAACAAATTGACATCTCTCTCCTCCCTTCCTCTCTCTCTAAAATCAATTTTAAAAATTAAAAAAATATATAGAAAATACATGGAAACATGGGATGTTCTTAGCCTATGAATGAAACAGATTTTTAAAATATTTTTAAGTGGAAAGAAACTTAAAAATATATAGTCATTGTTTTTTTTACCCACGGATTTGTAAAATAATGTTCCAGAACCAGAGAACCCATGACAAGCAAACATCTTTCACTTTCTCAGATCCCAGCATTTCCCCACACAGTACCAGGAGGCGCCCATCCTTTGTCTTAAGCTCTGTTAACTACAAAGAGAAACCAGTTCCCACTGTCCCTGCACACCACATGGGTTGGTAATAGAAGACAGAGGTGGAATTCATCACTAGCAGTCGTGGACATGTGACTGTAAGGGAAGTTTGCTTAACCAAACTAATTGGGCGAGGTGATGCCTGTTGTCTTCCTATTGAATTTCAGAGGGAACCAAACCTCGCTTCCTGACTTTTGCTTAAGTAACTCTTTAAAAAATGTATCTTTAAAATCTGTGCCATAGGCTTTGATGAAACAAAAGAGAAATGTCAGTCTGTCCCATCTGGGTTGAATTGAGATGTGCGTCCCTTCGGGGCCTGGGGCTGTGTCTTTGCTGTTTGCAGCCTCGTCCTGAGAGCCTGGCATAAGTGCCCAGGACACAGCAGGCACTCAGCAAGTGTTTATTGAATAAATATGGGATTTGTCCTGAGAAGACGAGCTCTTCATCCTGCAGACTCACGCACACACAGACACGCACATGTCCCCGCAAGCTCGGCGCCCACCGGAGCCCTGCCCAGCCCTCCTGCACGGAGCCACTGTCTGCAGTGCTTTGAGAGAAAGTTTGGTGCTGAGGGGACTCCGAACAAGAGTCTGGACTACTATTTAACTTGGTGTCCAAGGCATCTGATCAGATCATATACACGTCCACTTCCTCTCATTCATATAAACAGTGAATATAATCATTTAAACAAAAGAATTAGGATAGATGACTTCACGGCAAGACTTTGGCCCAGAGAAAACCCAGCTCCTTCCTATTGTGGCAAGACGGTGTAGAGGCCTCAGGAAGAGCACTCATGCAGGGGCGGATTGAGCAACTTGAGCAGAGGCTCGCCCTTGGCCACCAGGGAGCCCTTGACGCATCATAGGCCTTGGTAGCTCTCAGCCTTATTCACAGCCCCGCCACCCAGTGGGTGGACCCACTTGTGGTCAAGGATAATATGTAAATAAACAGTTGTTACCAGATAATGCCAGGACCGAAGCTAAGGCGCGAGTGTGTGTGTGAGTGTGTGTGTGTGTGTGTGTGTGTGTGTGTGTGTGTGTGTGTGTGTGTGTGTGTGTGTGTTCTGGCGGTGGGGGCGGTAAGTGAAGCAGGAATACAGGCTCAGTTTCCTAGTACAACAGCATTAAGAGTAAAGGAAGATGAAGTGAAATGTTTTAAGTCAGTGTTGTTCAAACTGAGAGTTGCCACCTGTTCCGAGGTTATGAAATCAATTTTGTGGTTTGGAATCATTTTTTTTCTTAAATGAAGTAAAATAGAATACAATCTTTAAAATGCCTAGTACATCACACATAATAAAGGTGAATATTGTTTTACAAAGCTCTGGTTTCGGTTATATTTGTGTGTGCTTAGTTTTGATTTAAATGTCTTCCTTATGGATTACAGAGTATGCACACCATTGGCCTACGTCAGTACAGTATAACTGATATCTGGCCTTCCATTGTTCCTTTGGAAAGATTTTAGAAGGCCTAGAAATAATAACTAATATGTGCATAGTAATTAAAATGGGTCAGGCACTGTTCTAAGCTCTGGACATATAGTAATCCATAAAATTGCCATAATAGCACCGTCAAGGAGATACTAATATTGTAAATTTTGCCGATGAGGGACTGAGGGTGAAGATTGCATGGCCAGTAGACTGCAGAGCCAGAACCCGGCCTGAAGCCCGCGAACTCGGAGCCTCCCCTCGTAGTTACGTACTGCCTTTCGGGAGGCCAGACCAGCCACTCTCTCTGCTCCTCCTTTTTTGCTCACGTTGCCTTCCCTAGACATGGGTACAAAACAAAGATAGTTTAGTGTGCATGGTCTTTTTTCTTCAAAAAATGGGATTATAAAATTAACTAGAAGTGGTGATTTCCTATAACAGAGCAAGCATTAGGTTCTCTGCCATCTATGATCCTGACAAAAAAGTACCTGTTTTCCCCACTCCCACGGGATAACCTGTACAATATTTCTGATCTGAGGTGAACTACACCTAATTTATATGCTAATTTGTAAAGAATGTCCTCAAAGTTGTGGAATAACGGTCAGAACTTGAATGAAAAATTACTGGAACCCAAATATGTGGCTGTATTTCTACATAAGTTTCCTTGATTTTCTTTACTTTGAAATAAAAGCGCACCCTAGGTGAGGTGAAGGTGCAGTGTAATTCAGTGTGAAGTGGCCCGAGAAGGCGGAGTACCTTTCACAGAGACCCTCAAAGATAACATTCGTAGGAGCCTTCATTGCTAGAACCAATAGAAGCATATGAGATGTTACTCTTTGTTGGACTGTGATTATCAAATGTTATGTTTTAAGGTGATTCTGAATGTGTTACTTTGTTACAGTCTTTCTTTGGGGAATAGCGTGTCGTTTGTTCATTCTGGTTTTTACAGGTAGATGGGAAAGTCAGCATGAATGGAGAAGCGGTTCATGGTGATGAAGTGGAAAAGGAAAGAGAGTGTCCCACAGATGCACTTGCCGCCTCGTTGACCAAGTCCCAGATGTTCGAAGGTGTGGCCAGAGTGCACGGGGGCCCCGTGGAGCTGAAGCAGGACAACAATAGCATTGAGATCAACATACAGAAGCCAAACTCTGTTCCCCAAGAACTGACGGTAAGAACCAAACTTTTTTTCCTCTTTGGGATAATTCCATCGTGAAAGAATCTACTTTAAAAAATAAGTAGGTCTTGGTAACGACCATTTCTCTCGATGTGGGTTCATTTGCCAGGGCTGCCCTAACAAAGTACTACAAACTGAGCAGCTTAAACAACAGAAAGTAATGGTCCCAGAGTCCCGCTGGCTAGAAGACCAAAATCAAGGTGTTGGCAGGGTTGGTTCCTTCTCTTGGCTATGAAGGAGAGTCTGTCCCCCGCCTCCCTGCTGGCTTCCGGTGGTTGCTGGCAATCTCTGGTGTCCCTTGGCCAGTAGACGCATCACCCTGATCTCTGCCTTCATCTTCACATGGCACTGTCCTGTGTTCATGACTGTGTCCAAGTGTCCCCTTTTTCATAAGGATGCCGGTCATACTGGATTAGGGGCCCACACTGTGGACCTCATCGTAACTAATTACATCTGTAACAACCCTATTTTCAAATAATATCACATTCTGAGAGGCTAAGTAAGGGTTATGACTTCAACATATGAATTTGGAGTGGGAGGAAGCACAATTCAACTCTAACCATGGGCATAGTAGACAGTGTAATATAAATTATGAATAAGAACTTTTCCTTGTCTTCACATTATCGGTGTCTAGTGTTGTAGAAAAAGAAATAAATCTCTCAAAAACCTTTTTTCTCCTGTTTGTTCATGACCCCATCAGACTTGTTAATACAATTTGAAAATAACTGCTGCCATTGGAACCTGGCTTTCCATCCTTGATGATATGTATGAAAGGGCAGCTTTCTTCTTAATGGAGAAAACAAAACCACATTCAAAATCAAACTAATTTTTATTAGCTTAACCCCTTAAATTCAGAGCGATTAGAAGCACCATTTAAAATTGTAGGATAATTCGCCCTGGCCGGTTTGGCTCAGCGGTTAGAGCGTCGGCCTGCGGTCCTGAGAGACCCGGGTTCGGTTCCCGCTAAGGGCACGTACCTCGGTTGCAGTTTGTCCCCGGCCCTGGTCGGTTGTGCGGGTGGCAGCCACTTGATGTGTTCCTTTCACGTTGATGTTTCTCTCTCTCTCTCTGTTCCTCTCTCTCCCTCCCACTCTACCTGAACAAAAAATGGAAAAATGTCCTCGGGTGAGGATAAAAAAATAAATAAATAAAAATAAAAATAAATAAATAAATAAAATTGTAGGATAATTCAAGAACAGCAGAAAAGAAAATACAAAAGAACATTATATGTGCTGCTTTGGAGTATGAGATACCATCGGGAACATGACACATTCTTAGACTTCACACCAGAAAGGCTCGTGCTGTCACAGATGCAGCCCAGTTTCCGGGGTGCAAGCGGGGCTGTATTCAACCCCATTTGCTCTCACCAGAGGCTGATGTCTGCAGTTTTAACTTATAGCATTTAGGTTGGAATTCTGAAGGATGGGGAGAACTATCACTATTCCCCCCCAGCACCTGAGGAAAACCTGTCTCCCACTCCCAGGGCTGTTACATGACCCAGGTAGCTAAACCCACCCAGCGACAGGATATACTTTCTCTTATCTCTGGGATTTGTCTTTTGAGCAATAAAATATGTTTTCTCAGAGGGGCTGAGAAGATGTAGTTCTTCCCCACAGAGCTCAAGCCCTATGAGACTCAGACTGGAATAGACCAGAATAATCCCCTCACCATGGTAACATGTTCGCTGGTCTCCAGGAGCAGAGTTTTATGACCCAGGCAAATGCTGAACCTCTCGACCTGGAATTTCATTTGACTTTTCATGTGCATGTTACCCTCTCTGAGGAGTTCTTACAAATCATCATGAGATGAAATAATTGAATTCTGCTAGCAAGCATGGGCGCTTTACTGGTAGAGTTAACATTAACTTATGCTCTTAAATTTTTTTAAAAATATGTCTTTATTAATTTTAGAGAAAGAGGAAGGGAGAGGGAGAGGGAAACATTGATCAGCTGCCTCCTGCACACCCCCTACTGGGGACTGAGCCCACAACCCGGGCACGTGCCCTGACCAGGAATTGAACCGGCAACCTTTTTGGTGCATTGGATGACGCCCAGCCAAGTGAGCCACACCAGCCAGGGTGACTTATGCTCTCAAATTTAAATTAGAAGCTTCCAAAATTAATTAGACATTAGAGTGTTGGAATTGCTTTTCTGGAACAATTAATCATTCTGTTCTTATTTCTCTTTTGCCCCACTTACTGATACGCACGTTCTAAGTCCCTTCACACACCTTTTCCATTCCTCAGGTGGGTCACTCAGTCTCCCAGGTCGCAGGCCCTTTGCACACATTGTTGAGCACAGCCCTCTCTCCCTGTACTTGGGAAAAGCGACAGTGTAGGTGCCACACTTGTCCCACAACGCCTGCCACCCCACAGAGACACACAGGGCTCGCCCAGGCCCAGCAGATTCCTTCTGAGAGCAGGTCCTCAGGGCTCCGTGGACAGGCAGGAGCTCTCCACCTCTCACCAGCTCCGCCCTCTGACCATTTTGTTGTTTGAATTTGGAGGAAACCCTGCCGGGGCTGAATGGGTTGTATACCTGACAGAAGTTAAAGGAATAAGTAAAGAGAGCAGATGGTATAAGGCCCAAACTTCCTAAAGCAGCTGCTTAATCTCTCTTGTTCTAAGCTTTTAACCCTTTAGGGGGAAAGCTTTACCCGCCCTGTATGGAGACCTATAGCAGTAAGTACAGGACTCCTAAAACAGAAGAAGGGGGTTGGTGTTTGTTTATCTTTAGAGTAGTAAAAGCTCCCTTAAAAATGTGCTCATTCTCATCCAGCTGGTGTGGCTCAGTGGTTGAGTGTCGACCCATACACCGAGAGGTCACAGATTCCCGGTCAGGACACATGTCCAGGTTGTGGACCAAATCCCCAGGGGGGGGCATGCAGGAGGCAGCCAATCGATGTTCTCTCTCATCGATGTTTCTATCTCGCTCTCCCTCTCTCTCTAAGATTAATAAAGAAAAATAAATATGCTCATTCTCAATAATGAAAATTTTCTTATTTTTACAATGATCAAAATAAAAAGAAAATCGCCTGTTCTCTTTCAACGCAAGGCATTCTCCATTTCGATCACAGTTGTGCTGCTAAGTTCCCTAACGGCCAAGGGAAGGTGGATCGAAAGGTTTCACACTGACTCCGTAGCCCCCCAAATCATCTTATTTTAAGACAAGCAAAATTAGGTGATCCGGAAAAACTCAGGTTATTTCAGAATTCATACAGTGTAATGAGGAAAACCCGACCAACACGTGGCCTCGTGAACTTTCGCCGGAAGCCGGCCTGATGACCCCGGGGACCCGGGAGGCAAGTCCCAACTAAGGCACAACCTGCCCATCTCCCGTGTGTGTCTTCCTGGGGAAAACTGCCTCGTTTGGAGTAATTTCCAGTTTAATAAACTCTAGTGGTCCCAAAGGTCATTTATTTACCCGTCTCTAGTCTGTTTAGGCCCTAAAATGAACTGCGGCAGGGACTCCTTTCTTACGGTCGGGTAGATGGCTGCCCGCACGTGTACAAGCCCAGCTGTCGGCTGTACCCGGCACTGTGGCTCATGGCTACGACGCTTCATACTGGTGTACAACTGTACACCAGCAGTTTCCCATCCAGAGTGTGTTATCCCCAAAGTCATTCCTAAAGGGTCTCTTTTCCAATCAACCTGCTCCTCGTACTTCCTTCTCCATATTCCAAGAAAAGCATTTCTTGACGATGTTCCAGCCAGGGTGTTCTTATCGATGTAACTGGTGATGGCAAAATACGGTGACAGCTTAAAAGGTGGGGCTGCCCTTCGGAGCCTCCCCGGGCTTGATACCAGCTCGGACCTGATGAGCTGTTTCTCATTCATTCTGTGGGGCTGTCAAAGGAATAGTGTTCTTCTTTTTAAATAGTGTCTTTCTTCCAAAAACTGCGTTCCTAACAGATACACTTTTTACAGAGGAGTAGCCTCACCCACCACCAAAATGTCACAGTTCCTTCAGGGTGAGCTGGGACTGCAGAGGGTGCGGCAGCAGTCGGCAGAGAGGGCGCCCTGGCCCGAGACCGCGGTGGGACAGGAGGAGGCTGGAGCGTCAGCCTCGTGTGCCGACACTTCTGTGCAACATTATGTCATCTCTTCAGTGTCCTTCTGTCTCACCTTTCTCATTGGAAACTCTTGAGACCACAGCTCTCTCGCTTTAGAAATAGATCCTAAATTAAGTTAGGCTTGCTATTATTAGTATTTTTTTACACTCGGCTATATCTACTGATACCAGCAACTCCAGGTCATCCTCCAGTGAATCATCTCTAAGTAATGAGGCTGGGACGGCAGCGACCCTGCCAGTGTAACCTGTTCACTGGTGAGCATGAATTAAGGACCTACTCCGTGCCCCGTTTTTGAAATAGAAAAAGAAACTCATAAACTTCCTGGGAAAGCAATTAGAAAAGTATATAAAACCACATCTAATTCAGTGCCAGGTAATAGGGTCAAAAGACTAGAAGGGATGTAAGATTGCAAAGAACAGTAAGATCATTATAGGTTGAGGTTCGCTGGGGAGTCTTGTGTGGGATATGGATTTTGAAACTTGGCTTCAAGTGCAGGACTTGCAGTGAAATGGAGGAGGGAAGCAGGCTAGTCCACATGTTGGGAATGTTCCCATATTTCCACATTTCACACGTTGGGCGTAGCAGAACCAAAGGCTTGGGCAGTGGTGAGGAGCCCACAAGAGGGGGTCACAGGGCTGCAAGGTCATGAGGGTGACCAGATGCTGTACACTCCAAGCAGAGGGACAGGTTTCCCGTCTCCTCCTGGTTATCTCTGAGACAGTTCCCAGTGGAAACCTAGTACTTTTTTTTTTAAATATTGGCTTCTTTAAAGAAATCATGTCATAGCACAAATACAGATGTCTAGAACCCAGGTTTGGAAGGGAATTTGGAAGCTCTTCTAATCTGAAAACTAATTTATTTTGTTCGGTGACCTACAGAAAGATGATTTATGTCTCCCTCAAAGCTGTCCCAGTGTGTTCTTG